TCTTAGTATTAGAGATTCATTAGTTTTCTTAGAGATATTTCTAGAGATTTTAGTTTTCTTGGATTGATTTGAAGCAAGATTTGCGAAGATTCTTTGTATTATTCATTGACGACGGATATCAAAGTTCTGAACTTTTCCATTGATTCGCATCAATACAATTGGTATTATTCATTCTTGTTTATTAATCAAGCTTTATTATTCCTTAATCAGAATTCATGTTTATATCTATTATGCTTTTGGAATTCATTATTGCTTTGATTATGAATATGTGTGAGTAGTCTCCTAGCTAGGGTTTCGGGATGAAACCCGGCCTAGGTAATCTATGTAATTGAGGATTGATTTTGATAAACGGATTGTGATTAAATTGATTATATGCGATTGCATGTTAATTCATTATAATAGGAGTAGCTAACCTAGAATCTTGAATTTGATTGCATGATATCCTTGATTTGAACAAGAGATTGTGAATTGAGTATTTCATTATTGAATGTGGTTTGATTATGTATCGAGTAATGTTAAGTGCATGAGAAATCCAAGCTTAGTATTGCCCGTTGTCTTCCTATCACATGATATTGATCAGACATATAGTCTTTGCATATCCCGTTTGTCCCTGTGATTCCTTGTTGCGTAGTTACCGATGGTTTGGTGAATTCCCGTTCTCCCTAGTGTCTTAGTTTATTGATTTATTCCATCTTATTAGTAGTATTTTAGAACACCATTTTCCATTGATTTCGAACTAGCTTAGGTTTAAGATTGATTTGCAATTACTCTCGTTCCTCGTGGACCGAACCTTTATTTGCCATTGTACTTGGTTATAGGGTGTTCGTATAAGTATTGTTTGATTGAGAGTTAGATTGTAGCGACCGATTTAACCCTTGTCATGGACCAACCCATTTCATTTAATTAAGCCCAATTCTTTTATTTGAACCCTTGTGGGTCAAATATTTCAAAACTAAAGCCCATTTATTTATTAAGCCCAAACAAGATCCCTACTCTCTACTCTATAAATATTCCTTTAAACCCCAAAAATTTCCCACACAAGAGATCAAAAATCAGATTTTTTGGGGTAAGTAATCTTTTCTTTTCTTTTCCCTTATTTTTCTTTCTTTTCTTTTCCTTTCTTTACTTTTTCCTTATTCTTTATTTCCTTTGTTTCTTTCATGCGTGCAAACTCACGCAAGTTGTCGCCCACCAATCGCCGCTGCCACCTCACCACCGCTGCCATGTCACCGCCGGCAACCAGCCACCTGCCAGCCGGAAATCACCCCCCAGCGTGAGCCACCCTTCTCCCTCTCCTCTTGTTTTAATTATTAAACCTATAATTATATACTACTGATTTTTGATTTTAATTATTGAAATATGATTAGTATATTTTATAATTGTGTTTTGACAACTAAAGAGTATAAATTTCAGATTTTGTATGGTTTTAAATTATGATTTTATAAAGTATTAAAATTTAGGGTTTTAACTATTAAAGTGTTGATTTTTAGGGTTCTAATAATCAATTAAATTAGGGCTTTCATTCCTATTGAATTTATAAAGATTAATTAAACATAAAAACAAATTTTCGGTAATTAAATTCCGATCTCCGTTCTTAATTATTTTTTAATCACGTTGAAATTCTAACTCGTCCGATTTTTACAAACAAATAGTGTTTTAATCTCGTGGCCAAATTCAGCCTCTAAATAGGGTTTTCGGACAGTTTTTGATTTTCGACGAAGGTTTAATGTTTTAAAAATTAATTTTCAGATTTATTTGAGGGATTTAAATCTTAATAAGTGTGCTGGAATTTTTGTATAAACACCATGAATGAGTTTTTATGTTGTGGTTTTAATTACCCACTTAAAGAAAGAGTTTTAAAGGTTTTAAACCAAAATTTCAGCTTATTAGAGAAGGTTTAAAGTGTTTAAAAGTTGCTGGAAATTTGTGTAATCAATGAAGTAATTGAGTTTATGTATTTGGTATTGTAGGAGACTTTAAGTTGAGTAATTTCTAGCATTGTGGCTAGTTGGAAAGATGATTTAATTAAGGTACGTACAAGAATACGAAGAACCTTGATTTTAGGAGCATGCTTAGGATTTGGAAAAACCTAGAATCATGCTAGGGAACTTGTGGATTGGTTGAAATTGTTTGATAATGAGTTGATTGATGATCAATGCGATGATTGCTTTAATTCATGTATGAGAGATTGCATTGATTTTTCCTTATGAGTATTATTTATGCAATACTTTGCAAGGAGAGCTTAGAAGTAAAGCTACAAGTATACATATGGAATGAATTATTTTAATTACTTATTCATTTGTATTGAAATGGAATGAGTAAAGAAAGAGTTAAAGTCTGATAAGACAAGATTGTGGATATGAGGTGCCTTATGCATTTAAGGTGTTTATACATCGAGGTAGTTAAAGGATTCAATAATAAATGTTGTTTGTCACTGATAAATTAAGAATTGAATTGGAAACTTGAATGATTTGAATGATTGATGTATGATTGGTTGTGTTGTTTGCATATGAGTCATCACCAAATTTAAACTAATAAATCACGTAAAGTGCAAGAAGGATGATCAATAAAACTCTAGATTTGTGCACATCTAGAGTAATGACAAACAGGGTTTGGGGTTCACGGGGTATTAGTCGTGCACTTTTCAGAGGTCGTCTGATCTACGAGTCTCTTGTTTTAAATTCTTTTAAAATTATAATGAGTTAGATGAGATCTCATACTAGCTATGGCCACGGAGTCGCGCCCGTCTGCCATTGGATGTTTATTAATGTCTTCCGAAAGGAGGCATAGGGTTTTCTTATTTAATGTTCCGGAATGGAGCACGGGGGGACAACCCGGTCTATTGCTTAATCCAATTAAATTAATGAAGTGATCAATATTATTTAGAGAAACTTTGTAATAAGTAACAATTGAATCATGTGTTCGAGTCAATGATTATATGGTCAGTGTATGAAATGCTTGTTAGTATCATGCTAGAACTCTTTACTATATTTCGTAACTTGTATGTACTCAGCGTTGCTGATTACGTGCTTTTGTGTGTTTTCTTTGGTCATGGCCTTCGCCTTCAATGACCCTGTAATGATCCAATTATTACACTTGTAATATTAGGGAGCAGATTAATCACAGGTTTTTGCATAAACTGACTTGCATCAGGGTGATGGGATTTGAGTGGAGCGTTGGCTAATTACTTAGCTTATTTTATATCATAGATTAAATTTTATTTTGGTTCTAATTCCATTTACTTCCTATTATACTGGATTTTGAATAAGGGTCGTTATGGTTCCAACTTGTAAGACTAAATTGAGTTTTGACTTTTAGTTTTGAAACTTATATTCCTTTTTAAAACTAAGTTAGTTTTCCGCTGTTGATTTCTGAAACTAGCCTTAACGTTTGAACACGTGGCGGTAGCACGCCAGTAATTCTCTCATAGGTTACTAAAAGTATTTACAAGTGATTACAGGTTACTACAGGTTAATACAGGTTTTAAAAAGAGAATTATTGGGGTGTTACACCATCCCCTACCTTTCCCCCACCCACGCTGCCCAGCCCTCTCCCCTTTCATTCCCCATTCTTGGCTGCTCTTTAAACCAACCCTTAAAACCACCACAACCGCCTACACCGCACCCACAACCACCACTTCACTGCAACCACCGTTAGGCGAGAAAATTTTAAGAAATTGAGATCCATAACCGAGGCTATGAAGGTTGAATTTGGTTTTGTTTGTTTTAGATCTGGATTTGGTGGCCAAATTCGACCACCATAGCCTCGATTTTAGAGAGAGTGTATGATGGGAGAAGGGTGGAGGCCATTGCTAGTGAAGCAGAGAGATAAGGGCGATGATTGATGCTGCGGTGGTGTTTCAAAAAAAAAGTGAGGTGGTAGCTGTATGAGAAGTAGGGTCGCCGGTGACGCTGCGAAGGTGGAAGGGGATAGGAAGAATGGGTGGGGGAAGGGAGGGAGTGGGGTTGCCGGCGTCGGGGGATTGTTTGGGCGCCAGCAGCCGGCACATAGAGGGGGTTTAGATGGCTAACAATGAGGGTGGCTGAGGAGAGGGGTGGCTGGAAGGTGGCTGGGCGATGGTTGGGCCCCACTAACGGAAATAGTAACCAATTATGTTAAGTGGTAGCAAAACCTATGTTTTTTGCTTTTAAGTGGTAGTAAAATAAAATAATAACTTAGACGGGTAGCAAAAGTCAAAGAGGTGTGTTTTGGTGGTAGCAAAACTCAAAATTTCCTTTTCTTAATGGTAAGAACATTACTCCCTCCAGTTTTTAATAAGTGTTCTAATTCTCTTGGACTTATATGCTGATGCAAATATTCAACTAATAATATCTTTAATTATCATAACAATAAGTATAGTATAGCATTTGAAAACTAATAATTTATTCATTAAGACGAATAAATACCCACTAGACTATATTTTTTCTTATTAATAATAAACATTAGATCAAATAAATAGTGCAAAACAAAAACTCTTGTGTGGACATGAGGCCTATACACGACAACAACTGACATTATGTTGAATATAGTGATCCTAATCTTAACATAGTTAGTGATCCTAATTTTAACATAGTAACCTTTTATTAAAATTTGTGCGAGCCTCGTTTGAGGTTCGAATGTGCCAGTGACGTTAATTTATTAATCTAAATATAGTAATTCTAATTCTAACATAATAACCTTTAATATACAAATTGATCTGTATATTAAAATTTTCATTAAAATATATATTAATCTCTTATGACATTTACTATAACACATTGACTTTTATTTTAATATAATCGATTTTATTTTAATATAGTGACCTTTTTATTAATGTAAAATCCTTTAAATTTAAATAAAAATATTTAAATATAGTGACTCTAATAATTAGTGGTGCATAATAAATTAGTATGAACCAGGTCTATTTAGGAGTTTGTAAATGCAAAAAGTGAAAAAACAAAACGTAGTACAGAATTAGACAAATAAATAGACACACATAGAATAATTAGCAAGGATTTTAATGACGATGTATTGACATCATAACGATCTTATTTAGGTAAGAGATTCACATGTCACAACAGAAATAATGCAAAAATCTTTTGAGGTTTAAAAAAATAAATAAATAAAAATAAAAAAAACCCTCTTATTATTTGGTCATGATGACATAAGAATAGAATCATCATCAAAGTTGGTCAGTTGAATATAAGTGGAGAAATGTCCTTAAAAATCTACATCATCCATGATCCCACCCCCATTATTTTCTCCACACGCACACCCTCACCCAACCACAATATTTTCATTCAATTTCGGCCCATTTACAATCTTCCATATTCATTTCACTTCCATTTTTATACTTTATATTTTTATTTTTTTTGGTAACAACGCAATCACATTTCAATTAATATTAAATCCTTCTAGAAAACCCATTTTGAATTCCCTCTTTTTTTTTTTTATGACATGTTCTTTATTTGTCACCTATCTTCACATATAATAAATACAGACATAGTTCTACAACATCACAAAGCCAAATCATCCAATAATAAACCAAAAATAATTGGTACGACTTTTTTTGAATGAGATTTGCTGCTATAAACAACTTCTATAGAATACTACTGTTCCATCCCCAAAACACACCAAAAATAAGATCATTTTGTACCATTTTTGCTACTACAAACACGTCTTCTGAATTCAACTCCCCGAGACAGGTTGTTGAGAAGGTTTTAGCTGAATCGCAACGCGAAGGCGATGGGGCTACAGTTCGACGTAGCATTGGCAGGTTTATTTTTGATCCCGCCTATTTTTTTTATTATTATTATTTGCTTAAAGGGAGTCGTAAAAGACGATGATGTAAATAGGGTTCGATCCTAAATTTATTGACATCTGTTTTTTTTGTGCCTTAATATAATTTGTATTCCGGATTAGTTACGTCTTATATAAGCATTTGACATTATTGTCTCAAAAACTTATCTGAATGTCAATTGTTGAAATGGAGATTGTTTATGACTTGCAGGCCAGGACTAAAGTTTTTGGATCCTTTTCTTATGTTGGATGAATTCTCAGGTAAATTTATATAAAAAATATATTTTTTTTTTGGTGTTAATGTTGATTTATTTAATACATTTTGTGGATTTTTAATGATTTGGATATTATTGTGTTCTTCAGTTTCTGCACCAGCTGGATTTCCAGATCATCCACACAGAGGTTTTAATTCTCCTATTTATACAGAAATGTGTTGTTTAATATAATATCTTTAAATTTTTTTTTTTTTAATTACATAGTTTTCATGAACAATCTGAATCATTCAACTTTCCATCCTTAAGCAGTCTTTGACTTTTTTTTTGCCTTATCTTCTTTTAGGATTTGAGACAGTTACATACATGTTGGAGGTAAATTTAATTTCTCACTTTAATGAATTTTTTTTATTTAGTTGACTTTTTTCCACATTAGGAAAATAAATTTGTTATTGGTTTTTAATTAAAAAGGGTTTTAATTTATTCGACTTTCTAACCGTCTGATACAAAAATTTACGGATCCACTTTTGGTGGTGTATGTGAACAGGGTGCTTTTGCTCATCAAGACTTTGCTGGACATAAGGGAATCATTAGAACTGGTGATGTGCAGGTAAAACTAATTAAATATTTAAGGATTAAAAGAATGATTATTGTATTTGATTAAGTAATTAATTACTAATTAGTGTCTTTAATCATTTTCATACAGTGGATGACAGCAGGAAGAGGGATAGTTCATTCTGAGATGCCTGTTGGGGAAGGAGTCAACAAGGGTTTACAACTTTGGATCAATTTATCATCCAAAGATAAAATGTAATAAAGTTTGTCATCTTTTTTCTTTTTTTTTTTTTTTTTTACATGATATATAACACTTCCTAACGTTTCCGTAAATAATAGTCACATATAGAACTTAGGGTGTCCGAAACCAAGTATACAATAACATGATGTCCGCTATCACAAAAACTTGAATTGAATACAAAACTTTTTGGTGCAGGATTGAGCCGAATTATCAAGAATTGTTAAGTGAAGACATACCAAGAGCAGTGAACGACGGAGTAGAGGTACGAGTAATAGCTGGAGAATCAATGGGAGTTCATTCACCAGTTTATACAAGGACTCCAACCATGTACCTTGACTTTACACTGCAACCAGGAGCTCAATTCTCTCAACTAATACCCGAGTCATACAATGCCTTCGTCTACGTTGTAGAGGGTGAAGGCGTTTTTGGGTCATCGAGTTCAAAACCAATGTCAGCTCATCACTGCCTTGTTTTGGGTCCTGGAGATGGCCTAAATGTATGGAATGTGTCATCAGACTCGCTACGATTTGTGCTTATTGGAGGGCAGCCCTTAAATGAACCGGTGGTGCAATATGGTCCCTTTGTGATGAATACGCAAGCAGAAATCGAGAAGACATTTGAGGATTATCAATTAGGCAAGAATGGATTCGAAATGGCCAACTACTGGAGGTCTCAGCCATAGTAGGTTGCTGCAGTTACATTCTGTGTGCTTTTGTGTTTTCTCGTATTTCCTTAGAGAATAATAAGTAAATAACTACTAGTATTACTTCGTTCACATTATTATATGTTTTTTCTTACCTTTTATTGCTATTATAGTTGAATGATCGATTACTTAACCATTTACTTTGAATAAACATTAGTTTTCCTTATATTTGTATATTACACTATGTTAGAATGAATGCTAGAACTCGTGATCCTACATACAAAATACCGAACTGAAAGATGGTATTTGAGAAATCACACAATCATTGCTTGGAAAGTAACATACCAAATATTTACCATGTTTTTGATAATCATTGTAACCTTGTTTATGGATGTCAACTAGTTTAGTTGGTTAAAGTTTGGGGTGGTACCTAAGACATGAGATCAAATCTTGTCTACGTCATTGTTTTTTGTGACTTTCTCTACACCAAAAAAACAACCACATCTTCCACCACGGCCACAACCATGACTATAACTCACTTTCGGAACATATTTGACTCTCTCTCCATTCACCATGGTCACCATTTTCAGCAACAAACATAACACTTCCATCAACAACATTGGCGTTGTGGGTTCACCAAAATGAAATATTTCTAATGTGGAGAAGGAAGAAAAGCATTTGTAAAATAGATGGTCCAATTTTATAATGAGAAGAAACCATTAGAAGTGGGCCACAAACTTTTTTTGAAGCTTCAAAAAACTCTAAACAAATTGATGTTGATAGAAAAGATTATCTCTAGATTTTTGTGGGTACTTCTTCAATTGTTATTGTAAAGAGTTGAGATAACATTAATTTTATTGTTGTTTCAATTTTTATCATTGAGTTCCGTACTTTATGCCCTTTTAGTTGTGCTTCTAATGATATCAACAAAGTTGAGATTGGTGAGGCCATCACTATCCACAACGAATGGCCTCTAAGGCTCTAACCTCCCTTAGTGATTTGGTTGCTTGAAGCATTATGCACACTGAACTAGAATAAATGCGGTTATACGACTAATTTCAATGTTCATACTATGTCATTACAAGACATTATACACTTAGCAACTCGACTCTTGAGTATATAATCGCTTTACATTCTCTTGGACGCATCATTTAGTTTATTAATTCATTTCTATATAAAGAATTCGATTAGTTACATCAAAGTAATTTTTATCTCACTTCAATTTAGCTCAAATTCAATAATTTCAATTCAGTTCAAATTTATTAATTTCATTTCTGTTCAAATTCATTCAATCCAGAATAACAGAATCCAAGACTTTAATAGGTTCACCCCCTATTTTGTCAAAACTTGTGTTATGTGAAACAAACTTGTCTGAACCAAATTATATTATCGAAACTTGTTTCCACCGCAGTCTATTTATTACAAGTACATGAGAATGTCAAATCTTATTTTCAATGTAGCAAGGACCTAAGAAGCGGATATTATTAGGCTGACTTCCCCTTTAGCGTACCAACAGACCATTAGGAGAGCCACATAAGCATTACAATGACATTAAAACTGCATGACAGGCAGTTTTTAGCGAACTATTTGAGCGGCCAAATGGGGTGTCCAGGTCAAGTTTGGGTTATGTATTTAGTGTTCTAATCAAATTTGGGTCAATCTGTCCAGGCATATGGATTTTGGATGTTGTTAAATTGTGTTGGTGGTTTGTTGTCGAATACCTGAATCTAGTCGGTTATTTACAGCTCGGACTACTACCTTGTTAGAATATTGGTAGTATCCTTACATTGGATAGAAAATGAATCTCCTTTCAAGGCATCTGAGTTGTACTCTAGTTTGAGGAAAAATAAAATCCCGAACAATTTATAGCAGTGGAAATCAACAAGTTGATGCAACCAGATGACATTAAGCCAAAATCAACCTGGACAGAAGCCAGGATGTTCGCGAGAACAATCTAAGCAGAGTATAGCGCCCAACAAAAGGGTAGGCAGATAAATGGTGTTTCCTATAATTACATGATATGTATATATGGAGATCTCTAAGAGCTCAGTTGAGAATCAAAACTCTGTGGTTCGCTGTACATGTCTTCTAACTAACCTACTTTACCTCTCTTATATCTAAATCCAGCAGATGTCACCTGGCAGTTATCCTCTATGTATTAGACTAAAAAATGAGGGAAAACATTTGAGAGTCTTGCTTTCAAGAATGAAAGAAAAGGATCTTCGTATCAGCCCTATGTTGGGTGCTACGCGATGGCTCTCTGCCTCATCCATTTGGTAGCCGACCATTTTTCACCAGAAAGCACTTCACATCCACCGTGTACACTACGTGGATCAGGCTGTCCATCAAGACCCTGCAAAGAATTTAAGGAATAAATCAATTCACCAATTTCAAGGTTTCACAACATTGCATGCATCTTTAAACCTGAGATACTTTGTAATGCTAACTTACCATACTCCAAAAAAGAACAGCATCTCCTTTGAGTGGTTTTACGGACATTCCTGAAACCATCTTCCCACCACAGCTACATTCACCTGAACCAGCCTGACAAAACAAATAGTCTTATGTACTGTTGTTACATACAACTAAAACTCAAGTAAACAAACAGGTATATACTCAAGAACTAATCAGGTGTTCACTTTTCTATCATTTCTTTATCCTGGTAAAGAAGGTAGCATGAAGGTATCATTTCCAGCAACCCCCAATTTTTAGACATTTAGAGATGACTGTTATGAACTTATTATGCAGCAACATTTTTTACTGTTGAGAGACGACGGTCCTAATCATCTTTGTAAGTTAGATCCCTTGTTTCTTACGAATACATATTTGTATAAATCTTCAGTTGCAAGCATATGTGGTCAAGTGAAATTTAGTGATAAACTAATATTACCTCTGTTTTTTTTAGTTGGCGCGTATTCCTTTTTGGGAATTTTTTTTAGTTGACACGTAATCCTTTTGGGAATTTTACTTTTGATTGACCCACTACAGACTTGATTAAATAAGCTAAAGCATATGGTCTACCCACATGCTTTAACATTCTCTTTCCTCTCCTTAAAGTGTGTGCCTAAATTAAACGTGTCGTCTAAATAGAAACGGAAAAAGTATGAGACATGTATCTAATGCTGATACACAACGAGCTGACCATAAATTTAGCAACTCACTGTACTTGCATGAGGTGGACGTGGGGTGGAGGAGGTGATAGCATAGATGATAAGACGACAAATATTGGGCTATGAGGTTTAGATACTCATCAAGAAAAGGCAATGATTAACTAAGTACTCTGAATAACCCATGATTATCCTAAGCATTGTAATGAATAAAACTTATCATTAAAAATACATTACTACTACTCCCGCTCCTACCAGCACCACCTTTAGAAAAATCAACTTATTAATGGAAACTGCTTTCAACACAGGTCTTTCAGAAATTGCCTTTTCAACTGAATTAAGATGGAACTTGTAAACAACCGGATATTATTATTTCCTAAGCCTAAGATATAAGTTACAGTGCACTGACACTACTTTCCCAGGCAAAAAGAGCTCTAATTTACTTCTATAAAACTTTGCAGCCACCAAAAAAATAATATTTGTATTAAATATCCCAGTACCAAAAAGGGTCTCAGATTTTCCATATGAGCCACTTTTTAAACCACATGTCATCAGAGAAACTAATAAATAGCACTTCAAGCATAAGGAATAATTGAGAAAGGAGAAGTAGAACACATAATGACACAATGCAAAACTCCCTAAACTGTAGAGTCATTCACAAAAACAAAATTCATCTATCATTGTTTCCAACCACATGACTTATCCTTTTGATCAGGATAAGATTGAAATTTCCTGAAACACCACTTTCTTTCTGATCAGGATGGGACGGAGCCCCTGACCTGCTAAATGTAAAATAAATGGTAGTACTCTCATAGGTTGTTTTCTCGAGATTGTCAGCAATACCAATCAAAAAACAACCCTAGAAGTGTGACATGCAATGAAATAAGATAGTGATAGCAAAGCATTTGTAAGAGAACAAATTTAAAAAATTTAGGGTATAAGAGAACAAAGCACCTAACTATTGTGAACAAATCTACTCAAGCTTACCATAGGAAAATATGTTTCACCCCCTTCAACATTGTCACTTAAGTACATAAGCATTGTTGCAACTCTTTGACCACCTCGCTTTACATTAAACTGAAATCACACAAAGTTAAAAAAACATGAATATATAAGACAAGCATGTGCAACAGATAATTCTAGTCATAAGAAGACACAACTTACGGAATCAGAAAAGTAGTCATTGTGGGGTTTGTAAAACTGATCTTTCTCGTACCTGTGTCAATCAAATATTAAGTTAAATTATCAATAAATAAATAAGATAAAAAAGAAGGCTATGATACTCCAAAATGATTCTAGTTAAGAACACCAAAAGGCAAAAGCAAATCACCTTAAAACTTGAATGAGCTCCCCATTTTCTGCTGGTACATGAGAGTAAACAGAAATTCTTTTTTCTATCGCCTGATGATTCAAGGGAAATAAGAGAATACCATTCAGTCTTTCAAGTAGCAGCTCAGAATCAGAAATAAATGATAGTAGCCATCCAGTGTAATCTGGCTGTAGTAAACGCAGTCATCCATGTTTCCACACACCCATCATCACCCCCCCCCCCCCCGGCGCTCTAAGTTAGGGTGGGGATGAAGGAGAGGGGTGAATGGTATAAGGGACTACATACTCCAGGAAGTACACCAAATGAATCAGTCAAGCAAATCTCAGAACTTCATCCTAAAGCATGAACATATACCATTTCCATATCTAAAAGTTTTAATCTCATGATGCAATAAAATATGACCCAGATCATTAAGATTCAGATTAAGATCATTTTTATTTTTCTCCAAAATAATAAAAAAAAAATAAAAAAAATAGTTTCTTCTAACCAATCAGAACATTAATACATTCACACCAATAATCACACTATAAGACATTAGAGAATATGATACCAATGCAACAAATTTCCAAATATACACATAGCACCCCTGCAAAAGTGCTAAAAGAAAGCCAAGAATTTCCAATATAAAAAAGGGCTAAGAAGAGCAACAAGCCTACCTCTATCAATGGATACTTCCTCTCATCTGGATGTAAAAACATTCCAGAACTTGTCCGAACTTCACTTCGAACTCCCTAAAATCATGTATAGTGATGATTAGACACATTGTACACAATAATTTCATGCAAGGAAATTATGCTACCACCATATATAAAGTCCACCACATAATTATACAATTGAAATTTACAAGTCATTAATATAGAGATTGATGGAAAGGAAACCAAGATAAGGTAAAAAAAAAAAAAAAATGTACACAGAATTTTCCTAATAACTCAAAAAAGGTGTTTAGTGCAATGGTTTTGACAGAATGTAGAAGGACTAGATACTTAAGGGACATAGAAGAAAAGAATTAAATCTTAAAAGCAAAGCTTAGAGCACAAGTAATACCATGCGGTCATAGCAGATAAAGTGTTAAAAACCAAGCTATCATGAGCAGATAACAAGAGATACATATAGCAGAAAAAGTATGGTCAACATGAATATCATAATCCACAATAAGGATAGTAAGATGATCATTACAACAATATATATGTTTAAAAAGTATCCAGAAAAAGAAATCCATGCAGCACTTATCCAAGTCTATCACAACTAATCCATTTTACCCTCTACTGATTATTAACCCAATAAAAAATTTAGCAAGGAGCATCCACAAGGAGGAAAAAAAAGAGAAAATTGCAACAACCTTTCCAGTTTTTGTGTCAACCACAGTAGAAACTTGTAGGCGAGGCAAAGCTATAGCTCTCAAATAATCACATTCCTGAAGAAAACAAGAAACTTTTGATCAGCAAATAAATTTCAGTAAAACTTTGAGTAAATTACACGTAAATAGACACGATTTCAGGCCTAAAACTTGATAATGCTGTGAAGGGGGATGGGCATCAAATCAAGATGATTACACAGTGGTTAGTACATGAATGCATGGCAATTTGTGAGTTCTTGCATTAAACTTGTAGTTGTAGCTTTTATGTGGGGCATGCAAATTAGTAAGCACAAAACTTAAAGAAATGTAGCCTTTTATACTTCATTGGTCCAAACTTCAAATTCAGCATCAGTAAATCTTTTTTGCCTCTGCAATATTTCAATAAACAATCAGATGATTTTATTTAATATAAGCTGAAGTAATTATATGAAATTACGTGTATGTGAAGGTATTGGGTGACATGCGTCTTGCCAAAACAATGGTAAGATGAATATTAGGTCACAAGTGTTGAATAAATTATGATCTAATTAGGTTTTGGACATACCATATCATGTCTATGTGGGTTTCATGCATGTGGTAAAAATTCCTCCATTTTTTATTTACTTTGAAAATTGCAACATTAAATTTTCAGACCTATCAACGTACAACTTTGAAAACTAATATTTTAAAACAACCTGATTGGAAAAAATTAAGAAAAGTTGATATTTTGAGAGTAAACACTGAGACTAAACTAACAACTGTTTATAAAATAACATGTAATTTTTTATGTATTACTAACAATTATGATCAAATCCAACTTATCCATGCAATTTTTTTTTTTAAGAAAAAGAAGGATATATAAAATTAATAGCTTAACAAATTCATTAAATATAACTACTACATCAAATAAAGATGATTGGTTTAAATAGAAATAAATAAATAATTGATGATTGGATCAATAGGGAATAAAATCTTACGAAGTATATGATAATTAGTTGTAAATGTGATTGAAAATATTTAGCGGTGTCTATGTGCTACTAATTGTCTAGTCATTTTGCAGTTTTCGTTTTTTGTAAAAAATAATACATTCTCTTATCTTTTTCAAATGCAGAGTACAAGATATAATTTGATTAAATATGCAATAAAATATTTTAGATTAGCTGGTAAGTCATTTATAGTTCAAATGGGGTATTGTGGGTTGCAGTCTACACGTACAAATTTTTAACGTACAAAAATACTGATCTTACTCTTCAAGGTTGTGGTACCATGTCAACCTTAACAGGACCAACAAGTGACACGGTAGCACTGCTTTGCTTTGGGGTATAGGAAAAGTATATGTAAATATAGAGTACGAGATTTAATAATTATTATTAATTTTTGGAAAAATGGAAAACCATTTTTCCTTGGAAATATAAAAACTAATAATCCCACCTTTGGCTTTCGAAACAATCCCACCTTTTCGAAGTCTGGAAACAATCCCACCTTTTACCCCCATCTGCTCAAAATGAGCCTTTTAACCTAGAACCTATTTAACAGGTTAATTTTTTAAATTTTTTTTTTTTTACTTTTTTAATTTATTTTAATTTTTTTTCAATCTGTCATCTCCCACCATGGCTACCCACCGTAACCACCACCACCCTTCCATAAACACCACCTCATCACCACCTAACCCCCACCCCACCACCTTCTTTCTCTCTCCTAACCTCGACCACCCCACCACAGCTAACCACGACCCCAGCAACCTTGAAACCCGACCACCCGCATCCACCCACAAAACCCCCTAACACCATCAAAATCCATTATCAATCTTGATCATTGAATCACCACCGTTCATCATCATCGAAAATCGGCATCGTCAAATCACCACCGTTCGATCTTAATTAATTGCGTTGTTGAACGTCAATGGTAGAGAGATGCGGGCTGCTGTTTGCTTGAGGGCGGCTTTGATGGTGGCTGGTGTGTGGCAATTATAATTGCGGAGTTGCTGCAATTGAGGGTAGAGAGAGAGAAGGGGAGATGGGTTGCAAAATTGGTGAGATGGTGGGAGAAGAGAGATGTAGCGTTGGGTATGGTTGAGGGGAGAGGTACTACAATGTGAGTTGCTGCTTGCGTGTCAAGCGGTTGTCCGAGCTGTTGGTTCGACGGAGAAAAAGGTGGTGGAGGGTGCAGAAACCACTAGGGCGGAGGCGCCGCTGGTCGTGGTGGCTTCACGCAACAGAAGAGGGTGTAAGGTACTACGATGTGAGTTGCTGCTTGTGTCAATTGCTGTTGTTGTTGGCGATAGAGGAGTTGCCTGTGGTTTGGTTGAGCTGCAGGGGGAGGGGATCAGGTGGGTCAGTCCGGCAGAGTGAGGTGGTCAGGTAGGTCAGTTCGGCAAGGGAGATGGAAGTGGGAAGGGTGTTTTTTTTTTTTTTTAATAATTATCCTTTTTTAAAAAAAAAATTGAAAAACAAAAACCAATAAGAATGTGACACGTGTCAAGTCACCTTTAACAGGTTACCAATTTGACAAACCGGTAAAAGGCTCGTTTTGAGCAGATGGGGGTCAAAGGTGGGATTATTTCCAGATTTCGAAAAGGTGGGATTATTTTGAGCAGAAAAGCCAAAGGTGGGATTATTAGTTTCCATTTTTCCTTATTTTTTTACATAAATGAATCATCAGTGTTTGTTCAAGGGTCAAATTTTGAGTTTCTACTGTCATATTTTGCATTGCTTGTATTAGTTTTGTGATACTTATGTCAATTCAATTATCGAGCGTACGTCACTTAGCCACTTTAATTACTATTATTAAGGATGAATATCAATTTAATTAGTGTGCAAAGTTTAATGTCCAAGTTATGTCAGGTTTTACAGATTTGGTGACTGTTTATTAGAGAGTGATGTCAATTTATAGGTTCTTTGTCAAAAGTCTCCAAAATTTTAAGAAAACCTTTTGTTTCAATCTCAATAAGTGATTCTTCTGATGTCAGTCTAACCCAGTACTTTTCAAATGCATATTGATTCAGAGTAGGTTCGCAAATTGGTTTCATGAAAACCTTAAGCAATCCCAACAGTTTATTATCATTATAGCTGGTATTTTGTTTTGGTCCTAAGCATGAGATAAGCAGCAGCTGGATTTTTATACAGACCGTATTATGTTATGGCATGATACCTCAAGCTAGCAACAGTATTTTAATAAAGTTTACAAGCACATCTATTGTATTTGGCAAAAAAGAAATGTGGCAGCAAATGCTCAAAATTTTGACACAGCTGGGAAGCCTGGTAGTTGTAATAGTAGAATAATGCAGTTGAATTATTTCTAGGACAAGTTAGATTATTAGATAATCTTTCAAACAAAAGTTTATAAATTAGTCAATTTTCCTGCAAGGTTTTACCAAGAAATAATCTTGAGTTTACATGTAGTATCAGGTAGTGATAATAGTTTATGTTTCTAAACTTATTTCAACTTTTTTAGGAACAAACTAACAACTCACCTATACAAAGGCTTTATTTTTGTAACATTCATTTCTACATAGACTTTATGAGAGCCTTGAATCATATCCAAAATTAAACTGTTTTGAAAATTAAAGTCAAAACACATAAAGAACAAGTGAAGCCATTCTTTATGTACTAGAACCTTTATTTTTTTAGTTCAACTGAGTAAAGGTTGTTTAAAGGTAAATCTTTCCGTTGTCAAAAACGCATCAATCAATTTTTAGTAAGTCAGTACTAGCTGGCATGACCAGAGAGCTCAAGCTTGACAAACACATAAAGTTCGACAGCAATTGTCAGACCCCTTTGAGAAGATATGACGGGTTCAACAACAAAAATGATACATGATGGAAAAAATATAGCTCAAGCATGACAGCTCATCAAATTTTATTCTTTGGCAATACTCCTTGTCCAAACCCTATGACTTACTAATATAGTATAAGCTAACACCTTCCAACATATTCTTCCTTGAAATATTAATGTATATGAGTCAAAAGTGGTTGAAATAAATAACATATTGAACTTCGATCTTATTAGCTTGGTTGATAGTGCAAAATTATCAATTCTAAATACTATGCTCCTAAGACGAGTCAAGCTATTGAATTGGTGGGTCCCTTTCAGCATCCAGTTCTCAATGCACATGATGTGTTTATTTCATGAAGTTGAATTAGAATAATTTGAAGTGCAACCTACACTTGGGAAAATATTATGATTACAATTCATGGTATCGTTTGATGTCAATTCTTGCGGGGATTGGGTTTTCTTAGTAAATGATGGACAGAGGTTGATTTTTGTATGAGCATAGCTCGTTAATATATCCAAGCAATTACATCGGTCAAAGGTAACTTAGAAAAACCCTAATACATGGAACCATCTTCTCTGACGTTTTCCTCTCTACGTTATATCAATAACTTAAGCATCAGAGGGCCTTTACGGGTCCCCCCCCCTCCCGGCAATTAATTTTACATTGTTTGCAAAGTCACTTTCATCTTCTCACTGGAACAGCCACAAGTTAAGATCGTTGTCAATCTTCGAAGTGTGGTTTGATTTGATTGAGATCGCGGGTTACAGTAAATTGAAAATCCTTTACAAAACAGCTAGACCGAAACGGTGTAGCCTTTTTTTTTTTTTTTTTTCTGCATCATAATTTTTAGCTTAAGTTATAAAAAGGAAGAGTTTGCTAATCACGCACTTCCTATTGCAATACTTGCAAATGGCACAATATATTAGCCAAGAGGAAAGAGGCAACAAGTAAGTTGCTTTATTTTTTTATTTATTTTTTTTTTTTTAAGGAAAAGAACACGAAGCATATAGGTCCCCCCTATCCCATGGGATGACAAGTGGCTTGCTTTATGAAAATATTAAAAAGAACTATTTCAAGGAAGATAAGGAGAAGTGGAGAGAAAAGGAGTAGATCAAGTATGAGTAAAATAGATAATATGAATTGTAAAAGTTACCAAAAAGGGAGGTGTTGCAATTCTTCAAAAACAACCCAAAATAGCAAGTGTTAATATTTTAGTGAAACGGAGAAAGTACAACTCTGTCGCTTTGGAACTGGTTAAGAAGGTACAACTTTGTTTTAGTAAGAGTTATTATTTGGATAAAAAGAACAAAGAAAGTTTGACTTCCATAAGTGTGGATGAGGGTTTCATCGCCAAATGTCAATTTGTGGTGCACTTGTCAAGAAAGAAACCACAAAATTTTGAGGGAAAAGGTAGAGCTTGCCCCCTCAAGGTTAGATTTAAAATAATACTTGACTTTTTCTGAAATTTGTTGGAAATATTGTTACATGAATGCTTGAGATTTTTGCCTTGGCCCTCTTTTAGTATGGTATCTCTCTAATTAAACTACAAAAAGTCTAGTCTGCTCATGAGCTAGTTGGACTCGGATCGAATTAGAGCAACTTGAAATTAGGCTTGGGTCAAGACCATTGCAAGCTTATATATAAGCTCAAAAATGTTTAAAACCTTGCAACATCATTTATAGAATTTACTGATTTAGACAACAAGGTGAGCAGAATCACATTCACACATGGAGATGTGGTACAATGAGAGAGAGACAATACCATGTCATAAGGACATCTTAACTTAAGTATGACTGGGCCGTAGGATGATGGTGTTAGACCAACTACTCTAAACAACTTCAGCACCAATTTTACTGCCTTTCCTACAAGTCAGACTTCAACACTCTAATTCTAACTGAGACTTATATAAATATATATATATATATATATATATATATATATATATATATATATATATATATATATATAGGGTCAAATGAGAAGTTCCTTAAAATGAGAAGAATGAGAAGGATTTTTTGTGCATAATATTTGCACTGATGTGCATATTTTTTTAACTAAATGTGCAAAAAAAAAAAAAAAAAAAAAAAAAAAAATATGACTCACATTTTATGTGCATAATTTTTTTAACAAATGTGCATAATTTTCATTTTTCCAGAAAATAACAAAAAATTAGCAATTTAAAACACAGTTATGCACATTCAATATAAAAAAATGCACATATAGTATAAAATATATGCACATTTGTTCCTTCTCATTTTAAGATCCTTCTCATTGGATCCTAACCCTATATATATATATATATATATATACACACACACACACACACACACACACTTTTTTAATCCCAAAAAAAAAAAAAAAAAAAAAAAAAAAGCAGAAAGAAAGACACCAGTCACTACAGATGAATATTTAATTAAGAGTATATACTTTGCCTATAAATGATAGAACATAGTAACACAACCATTCAACATCATATGCAAAGAAAGGAGGATGGAATTGTTGCTGAATATTGTAGTATTAAGCTTTGTAAGAATAGGTGACAAGGCTAAAAAGAGATCCATCAAGCATGAGAAAAAGTATACAACGGATGCTTACCTCCATGCTCAAAAAATTATGCAGGACAATGATTCGGGGTGACCAACTAATCACCTCAGGCTTCACCTACAAATTCACAGAAAAGGAATGACCACCATTTGAAGAAAGGAAAACATGCAGGACTGTAAAATTATGTTCAAAAGATGTTTGATAGCCAAAATATACAGAGGGCCTGAATTACCATGTGACCAGCCAGTAAAAAGTATATTAAAAGTTAACATCAACTTTATTGTTGACAATCTTGACATCAATCAATTTATATCCTCATTGTTGTAATAACTTAGCACTTGTTTATACTACTGCAATCATGATTAGGGTAACAAATTGAGCTTTTTCTTAATTTCTTAGCTACAGATATTATATAACCATTGTCAAACTTGCATCATGTAATCAATCTCCTCTTGAACCATCAAAAGATCTATTCTATAATTTAACTTAGCTTGCCTTTGCAGCCAGTCGAGCTTAATACAGGCATTCATACAATATACATAAACCAAGGAAAAATCATTAGTAAGGTGGCATTTGGTTATTCCTAAATACACTGAGCTAGTCTCAGTTCTTAGTTACATTAAGGTGGTAATGTCCAGTCAAACAACTTCCATTGGAATTTATATTCCCAGTTACCAAAAAAAGAAAACCTTAGTAATTAAAAAAAAAATAAAAAAAAAAAAGCCTCCGCACTAAATAGATTGGACTCAGGTACCCGTACCAAATATCAGACTTGCCTTTCAATAAAAATTTCCTTAAATTAGTCTATAATCAGATACTAAGGTCCATACTCATATTGTAGTAATGAGGATCCGACACAAGTACTTGAGTTGAGCCCAAATGAAGGTGAATATATTGACTATGTAATTTTGGGCAACAATAATAAATCCAAGGATACTTTTATCAGAGACCAACACACACTGCTCACAAATTAATGAATCCTAGGCCCCAACACCTTCTCTCTAAATTTGTCACACTGAATTTATCTTTTTCACATCTATCTCACATAGAAACTTAGCGTATCTATTGCTCTAGCACATATAAACTAAAAGATAACAGAATCCTCATACTAGTTATACGTAGTACCAATGGTATAGATGGAAGTATGGAACTATGACACTAATGTGAGAGTGAAGAGATAATAGGAGATTAGTACATATGCCTTGACAAATCAAGTTTATACACAACTTTCCTGGATTTATATTCACCATGTATGACAAAGGCCTGTCTAATAAGTCATAAATGGCTTAAATGTTGCAACTATTATAGGTTGTCCTTTGACAAATTATTCTATACATTGCACAAATTTCTCCAAATTTAAAACACAATCTAATAAAACACTATAGGAAGATTGTCAACATAAGGAAAGAAAGTAACACCTAAATCATATAGTAAAACATACTAGGTTTTATCCTGAATAAATTTTATGTCTTGCATCCAATACAATTCCCAAAATGCTTAACCTGGGGTCTCTTTGCAGTAATCCTCAATCATCAATGGAAGAAACCCAATAAAGCAAAAGGACACACAGTAATATCCAACTAATAACCTGCTTAGAGAAATAAGAGAATGATGTACAATAGACGCAATTGCCCTATATTATGGAGAAACATGATATGAAAATGGGCATAGCACTTTGGAAAGTAATGGAGCAACATGTAAGATAATAGCTGCTCAAGTCCAATTTTAAAAAATGACTTACAAGTCCAAGGCGTAAAAGAGCAGCTTCTTTGTCATTACCCCAACCAACAATGCCTGCAAAGCCAAAGGAAAGAATAAACAAAGTCCAGCTATAAAAAATAAATAAATAAATAAATTGCATTAAGAAAAATGCACTCAGAGAGACTATAACTTTTCTTTGACCCAGAAAATAGACACAAAGGAAAAATTTAACATAAGCAGACACATTGAACATCCCCACCCCAAACAGAAAGGGACAACAAAAAATGCTATGAATGCTGATGCAATTGAAAATGGCTTTCTTCTATCCATCAGGATGGCATCAATCAAATTCAGACACAAGTAAAAACATAACATGATAATTAAGGAAAGCAACCAACAACAGTTTTAAGACTTTTAACAGCTCAATTTCCCAGCATTAGTCCTAGATATTATTTTCCATCTTGTTTTCTTCTTTCTCTTTTTCCTTATCCTTGAGAAAGCAGTATTAGAAACAAAACATGAAGGATTGGAATGACGATTCAACTATAACAGACACAAAAGTTAAGTACTAATTCAAAGGTACTCCTGACTGACTAACTCCATTTTGAACAGTCTCTAAAAAGCAGATTTCACTCAGGATTGCAATAACCTACCCCTTTCTCTACTTCTTTTCTGTTCAATATTCTGCGAAATGTAAATCAATTGCATTTGACACCAAAGGTCTAGATGTCTAGCAGAAAAAAGGTTATTATAGTGGTACAAGAAAAGCTGCATACATTTACACCCTCTCACTCTGCTCCAAATAAAGCCTTGGGTGCTTTAGGAAAATGGAGTAATAAGGGGGAATAGCAACACAATAATAAACAATAGTAAATGAACAAATAAAAAGCATAGCAACATGACTTTCATATACTTCCTAGAGATATACTTCCTAGAGAGTAGATAGACACCAGAAAATTCTCAGTCACAAAAACATCATATTATGTCCTGGGTTAAAATTAAAAATAAATGTTACATTCATGAAAACATGCTTAACTTGTAGTTGAGTTGTGAAAACATTTATGGGTAACATAGAGAAAATATGTAAATTAAATCAATCCTTTTTAACAGCAAATTTATAAATAAAAAACCTCATTTGGGCATGGTATGCCATAGAAAAAAACAAAAACTGTATACTGAGACTACAAAGAACAAGTTTCATTATAGACTATTTAGCTCATTAGATAAATACTTTCTGAGAAAAACAAGAGGATATAAACCTGTAGACAAAGGAAGATAGCCTTTAGCCTGTGTTTGCTGCATCTTTCTAGATGATGGAAGACCCGTGCCTGTAAATAATGTAATTGATAAAAACAATCAGTATAAGGGCTATTGTTTAACTTTTGTGAGAAGACAAAGTCCGCTTTGAATCATTTCACCATAGTATATCATAGCAAGCAATATCAATTGATTTCTTAGATCACCAAGACACACCCTCACTACATCAAAGTCCTTCAAGCATACCAGTATAAGTCCTCCTTCCTCAATATATCAAAATCCCTTATGCTATACTACACAATATTACTGCACTATGCCATTTAGTAAAATCCTAAACCATATTACATCAAAGTCCTCACTTATCAATTTCCTTATCCTATTCCATCCAATTACAATCCTTAAGAATACCACATAAGAAGTCCATACCAATAAACTGAAATTTTCACTATATTCAACTCCTCATACCTATCATATTACAATTAATACATACTAATGAAAATGTTGCCTAACAATGACTACAAGTTTTGTGAGAAGAGGATTCATACATTGAGATTAACAGGGCAAGTGCAGCCACTTCCAGGCACATTGTGCCCCATAAAGTAGAAGCATGCCTTATGTTTTAGGTGGTTTTCCTAGGTAGCAACATTTCATTTACACCCTTTCAAATAAATAAAATAAATGCTTATCAAGACACTTATTAATGGCTTTTAATGGCTAAAAGTAATAGACATTTTAGCCTTTTAATGGCTTCACAAATGCAAATGTGGGTTATTCTGTCGTTTTTCTTTTTGGTTATGTATTCTGTCATACTTGCATTTGCATATATATGCATCTAATACAATAATAGCCATGAAAATTAAGATATAAAAAGGAAACAAATCAGTGGAAGGTATTGTGGCCATTCCATAGAGAAATCATAGGCAAACACTATGGGTATGGCCAATCAGCAATGTATCTTTCAAAGCAATAAACTTGCATTGTAACAATGTACTTGACCTAGTACCCGAGAAATTCATTAGTAATATACAACTGAAATACTACAAACAAGGGACATAAAGTTATTTTTACCAGATGAATCTTCAAGCCGAGATATGAATGCTAACTGAAATAAAGCACCTGCAAATTCCAACAATGGGGCAGTCATTTTTTTGTATGGAAGCTGATGAAAATGATCTATCAGGATTCAAAATCATTATAAACATATACTCCCTCCGTTCTACCTTTTTACACTCACTCGCATTTTGCACGGTCTCCAACGCAAGTTTTTGACCAATTATATCTTTAAATACGTGCTAGTCTAAATTATGAAATTTGATATTTGGATAACACGCATTGCAACAATGAAATGAAGAGCTCACACGGCAACTTTTTGCAATAGACAATCAAAGTTGTTTTATTTTGACGGCTTTGACCTCATAATGAAAGACAAACTTATGACAATGTGAACAAACGTTAAAAAAAAATAAATAAATAAATAAATAAAATAAAACAAGCAGAAAACAGCAACCGCATAATGTGGGAAAAATGCGTCTATAACTAATTATTAGATATTGAAAATTTTGAGAGCCAAACCTAGAGGAGCAGCAATAAAACTTGTTCCTTATGATTTCATCACTTTATAAGCATATATACGATGCCTTTAATAAGTAATAATCTACATATGAGAGATTGTCTTCACCAAAGATACCACTCACAATAAAATTATTAAATCAGCCATATACATTTTTGGAAATTTGATGGCATTGAACACAATAATATTCTTATGTACAAGTACTGAAATCTGACAAGCATCGACAGTAAAATCAATGTTAAAGAACCCCAAGTATAAACTTCATATATTTTACATCAGAAATTCGTTCTTCATTTTGAAATTATTCAACTAGAGAAATTTGCAATCTGTACAAAAATGCAAAATAAAAGAAAGTGACCTCAGATACAAAAATTGAATATCACAGGATATAAATGTAGCATCCCATGATGATTACAGTATGAAGAGTAATTTTCGGCATCAATTTAAATGCAATTTCAACATTTTTTTAAGTGCCAAAATTCAAATTTCCGGAGGTCTAATTCCTGTAAATGCAATTATGTAACAAGCAATTTCTTCAACAATTTCAACATAGAGTAATGCACTCACAATTTCAATTTTCCGCGGTTCGTTCAAAAATTTCAATATACTTTGATTTCACTTGTTATTCTCATAAACTATTCAGAATTTCTCAGAAATATTCAACTTGAAAATTCGTAACGTGATCCACCAAAATTAAGACAGAAATTACAATTTCACAACCAGTAATTTGTGCAATAGCAACAAAATCGTATAACACGAGTAACTGATAAAATTTCACAGCACATTCACAAAATTCATACTGTAATAACAAACAAAATTCAAAATATTTAGCTGCTATAAATATAATCAAGTACCAAATCAAAGAATTAAAGTTAGAAAAGTTGAAGATGATAATCAACAAATTTGATAAATAAATCAGTTAATTAAACGAAATCATAGAATAAATCAAAGAATTACCGATGATCATGCCAAGAGTGACAAATGTGAGTAGACCGAAGACGACTTTGATTGCAGTCGCCATTTTGAGTCGTCAAAATTGGTGAAAAATTGGTTACTGAAATTGTGTATGAATAAGTGAGAGAGAGAAAATCAGACTCCAACGGGTTAATCGGAGTCCTAAATTTGGTAAATGTTTTTATGTCAAAAACAAAAAGTGTTTTAAACGCCCACAGCTTTGAAATTGGCCCCTTCGCTCTCGTACTTTGCCCTCCTTTTATATACGTGGGTTGACTAAATTTGATACTCCGGTCCGTTTCTCAATTTTGCCTAATTTACTTTGAAAAATCTTAATTATTGTTTATTTTATAATAATCCCAATATTCACCTCTATTTTCTTCTAAAACGATTTTTTTAAAAAGTAATTAAGATGCCACGTGTCACACTTTGATTGGTCCAAAAAAATAAAAATAAAAAAAAAACCACATCCACCCCTTTCCAACTTCGACTACCGAGAAACTATCCCCCCTTCCCCAAACACATCCCCTCCTCCCTTAGCGCCACTGGAAACCACCCCTCCCTCATCCACCACCAAACCGTCCCCAACAGTCACCTCCTCAGTCCTAACCCACTGTCGGCCTACCGCATAACCGCAACCCCTGCCAAACCCAATGTCGCTCAGCCACAAACCCCAAGCCACAACCCAACCGGAAACGACCCTCCTTCCCTAGCCCCACCACCGAAACCGGCCAAAACCCCTAACTTTTGCCCTTAATATCACCTCCACCCCCCAAAACCACCCATGGATGTTTGAGTCATGGGCGATTTTGGGAGTTGGGAGAGGTTTTAAGGGATAGGGTTTGGTGTTTTGGCCGGTTTCGGAGTGGAGCTGGGGAGGGCGGGTTTTTTTCGGTAGTGCGGCGGCAAGCGGCAGGGGATGGGGTCCATGTGGGTGGAAGGGGAGGTTGTCGGGGATTGGGGCTGGAGATTGGGTTCAATTTCTTTTTATTTTTTTAAAATTTTTTATTTAATTTTATTTTAAATATTAAATTTTAAATTAAGTTTTTTTTTGGGGGGGACCAATCACAACCTGACACGTGTCAGATAACGTGAATTATCAAGTCATTGACTTTTGTTGACCGATTTGGGAATGAAGAAAGAAAACGTAGGTGAAAGTTGGGATTGTTACGGAATAATCAAAAGTTGGGATTATTAAAGTATATTTTTCCCTTTTTTAAGTACCTCATACCCTTGGGCACATAGTTTTAGGTAAGAAAATAAAATAGTATATAATTTCTCTGTTTTTTTATAGTTACAACACTTCTCTTTTCACGCTTGTCGATGCATGATTTCAATCGTCTTTAATTGCCAATATGTAAAAATTATAAACATTTGATATTAAAATAGTATTGTAGGGCAATTTTCAACTAATCTTATTAAGCCCTACTGTGGTTCATGTTTTCAAGCATGGCGGCGCTTCAAGGAAAAGAAGCTAGAGATAAAAAAGTCACCAACAAGTTTTAGGAACTTGTGAACCGTTCACGGGTATGAAGGCTATACCCCATTCACAATCACGGAGATTGCTAACTCCATAGAGGTCCGGAACCATACTAGTAGAAAAACGCAAATTGGTGGCCATAAATGGGAAGCGGTTAATGAAATCCGCCGCCCAAAAACCCACCTTAGCTAAAAAAAAATAGGGTTTTTCTAAACTATGTCCCTAAGGTAGTTGAATTTCTAAGGTGTACCCATGCTTTTTCAAATTTCTAAGTTGTGCTCCTCAACTCACTACCATTAATGAATGGTACCCTCCTTAGGACTTCCACATCAGCTAAAGTTAACTATAAATTTAATAAAAAGATGATAAAAGGTAAGGAAATGATAGGAGAAAGAAATCTTAGCCATCGCAACCCTAATAACGAAAACTGAAGCCACGAAATCACACTTTCAATTAACTTTTAAACAACTAATGAGGATACATTTTAGTATTGATAAGCACTTGAAGGGCACGGCTTAAAAACTTGAAAAAGCATGGGTACACCTTAGAAAAACCCAAAAAAATAAAAAAATACAAATGGGTAGCGGTTTGAACCGGAACGCTGCCCATTATGTTTTTTTTTGTTTTTAAAATTTTTAGCTCTTTAATCCCTCTCTCCTCCCTCTCAAGACTCAGTTCTACCCCTCTGTCTCTCTCCTCCTCTCGATCTCTCACCTCTATCTCGTTCTCTCAGCTCTCCTATCTCGTTCTCTCACTCACTCTCTCGTTCTCTGCTTTCGTTCTCATTCTCAACAACAACCACTGCCCTCCTTCGAAAATCGGCGTCAAAACCAAGGACAACCATCATCGCCGCCGCCGTCTACTTTTTGAATCTACTATAATGGAGTTTAGGGTTCTTGGGTGCGTCTACTTTGAATTGTGCGTGCGTCTTCAACAACAACAAATTCGAATCAATTTCGAACCAAAAGTCATAAATTCGAAATTTGCTTCCTCGGGATTCGCAATGTTCTAACTCTGTTTCAACTTAACTAGGGGTTTTCAATTTTTTGAAATTATTTTGGATTTTTTGGTCGATTTGTTCGAGAATGTTCACTTTTTGTGTTCCATGAATTGGGTTTACAAGATTTGAGGAATACCCAGTTCAAAATTTGATGGTTTACACTGTTTTTTGATGCTCAATTGATGGATCAAAACCCTAAATCTTCAGTTAGAGTTCCATAAATCTGAAGTACTGTTGTTAATTTCGTGCATTTTGCTTTGATTTTCTTTGTTTCGGGTGAACCCCACTTCATTAATTTGGGCAATTTTGCTGTCTAACTGAAGCTCGTTGAATGAATTTTGAGGTGTTCATTTGTTCTTGTTTTTTGGTACCTTAACAATGATTCATATGCTTCAAAGTTTGTGACTTTAAATTTTGCTGTTACATGAATTATAAATCATGGGTATTGCCAATTAATTGAAATTAGATGTGTTGGTTTTTTACTTCAGCATTTTTTAGTCTTTTTAACTAACATATCATACAGGGAGTAGAAGTTATTTAGTTCTCTGCCTTGTCACTCTCAGAGAGCCAATAATAATATATCATTTTTTGAGTTGAGTTGTGTTGTGTTGTTTCGGCAGGTTTCGGTGGCTCATACTTGTAATTGTATGTACTTTTTGTTGCAGCAGAGGCAGCGGATATCGAGTTCTGAGAATCGGCGAAAGAGCAAAGAAAGTGGTATGATTTGCTTAAATAGAATATTTTGCAGCTGGTTTGGTTTAGTTTGTTGCTTGATTTTGGTAGTCTATTTATCTATTGAATGTGTGGTTTGCTTGAAACTCTGATAAGCCCCTCCTAATTTTATTGAAAAGGAAGTAATTTGAGATATATTTTCTAAGTTCTATTGTAATTTGATGCTATAATTGCAATTTGCAATCAAATGGTGTTCATAATTATTGGTTTTTAATGAAAAGGGAGTTAAGTTATGTTGTGGGTTTTTTTAGCAATGCAGATTGTTTTGGTTGATTTGATATGGCTTCAACTTTATATAGTAATGAAATTTTGGATTTTGTCCTTGGTAATATAAGTTAAACATGATTGGATGTGCTTATTTTATTAGGAAATGAGCTTGTATTTGCATTTACTTTTTTTGGATGATGAGTGACATGATTGGTTAGATTAAGGGGAGTAATTGATGTTCATCTTAATTTGGTAATAAAAATTTCCTTATGGACTGTATTTATGTTAGACGTTGCTTTGTGATGAGTGCTTTGCTTTGTGGATTGATGCCCTTTTTACTTTAAATTACTAGTTTCTTGTTTAGTACTTTTGGATGGATAATGATGCCTATTCCTGTTTATATTGGGCCTTTTATTTGATGGTGCCTAATTCACTCATTGGTGGGTTGTATAAGTAAAGTGGTGGTTCAGTTCATGTATGCCTTCACTTGCTTAAGGTTTTGTTGATTTTCTGCTATTTACTCTTCTGAACTGCTGGTGTATTTGTTCAAATCGTCTCACATCATTCATTATTTGCTCTTATGTATGAAGAATCAGTGTCCTTGTGGTGTTAGGGACTGATTGATGCATCAGAATTAAAAAACTTCAAATTCTTTGATGCTTATAATAATCTTGGGAACCAAATTTACCAGCTTGCTCAGTGGACAACTGAATGGGTTATGCCGTGGATATACTAGTTTTGAGAAAGAGTGAATGTTGATGTTGTTAGTTGTTTATCTAGAACTTAGCTATAGTTTGCATTCTGACAAGTCTTTGCTTCCAAGTTATCCGTTAAATACTATAACTCTCATCTTAAAGTATATGTTCTATTGAATTTATGCAGAGTACTCTCATTTGTTGACAGCTAGTATAGAATTTGTACAGGCTACATTGCATGCAAGGCTGTAAAAGATTATGTCCATTTTTATTTGTTGATTCCAACTTTGCTTATACTTTCTGCCATGCTGCATTGTGAATATTGTTACACGAAATGATTTGTAAGTTGGATGTGTTCTTTGACATGTATATGTAGCCAAGAAGATGAGTTTGGCTGACACACTAACATTCTATAAGCAAAACGACACAATTCAAGGCATACTTAGCAGGATCGATCAACTACCGATCAACTCAAGCCATGATCCTCCCCTTTGCGAACATCCCGACCTGACCAATGGTGACACACAGATGGTTCCTATGTTGCTGGTCGACGAGATGACCAATGCCTTGCGAAACCTGTATGATGTAGGGGTGAGGAAGATTGTTATTATGGGAATTTACCCTCTTTTTATGCTACTGTGCTACTGTTGGTCTGCTTTGGTGCTGCTAATGTTCTGTGTTTGAGCTGCTGCTACTTTACTCATTGTAATGGTTTTTTCCTGGATGAAATTGTAATATAACTAGCTTTTATTAATAAAAATATCTATGTTTATATATGTATATTGGTTTGTTATCAATTTCAGCATAAAAAAAAAAAAAAAAGGGCAATGATTTTTTAATTTTTAATTTTTTTAAGGCATAAAAGGGCAGCGATTTCGCATTGAACCGCTGCCCATTCTCAAAAAATGGGCAATGATTCCCCGCTGCCCATTTAAATGGGGCAATGAGGGGTTTTGAACCGCTGCCTATTTGTGTTTTTCTACTAGTACCATGACTGGATGTTGGGGGATGATGGTACAAATCCAACCTAAAAGAGATTAAACTCGCCCTAAATAGGCCTCTATTTAATTCTTATGATATTCATGTGCGCTTTTCGATCAACATACATACATCAAATTAATCCTAAACCTATTTAATCTACGTTGGTTGATTATTAATGCACAATCAAATCTATTGTTGGAGATCATTTGAGTTAAAGTCATATCAGCCTAATATCAAATTATTAATTATCTTATTAGGCGTGTTTTAAGTACAAATTCCCTTTAAACCTGCAAAAAAGGGCGTGATTCAGCAATAACAATAAATCATGAATAATCAAACAACATATAATTAATTCAACAATCATCATCATAACATCATCATCAAAATATCGTTAGTAAGATCCTAGGAATGATACTAAACAGATTAATAACAAATCCTAACATGTCACTAATAATCGAAATCAAAGCATTATCCCCTAAACATGATAATAGAAATCATAATAACATCCTAACATGATATTAGGAATTAAAATAATATTCTAAGCATGATTCCTACTCCATAATCAAAGTATAATTAAAGGGATAATTGAATTACTCAATTTGATGCCTCAACCTTCTTTCTATTAAAACAATACACACGTTAATAAACTTCAAGAAAGTTAAATTAAAATAAATAAATCAAATATGAATTGAGATATGAATTTGAGACCAAATCCTCAAAACTATCAACCTTTCACGTTGAGGTCGAAGGCAACATCGAGGATGGCTAGGAGTATTCGAGTTTCGTGAATGAGGTATTGTGAATGATTTGGAAGAGTATCAAGGATGTGTTTAGGATAAAGCTAAGGCTAAGAACATGGGGATCAAAAGAGAGAACAAGAAAATTGATAATGGTTGTGATGATCGTTGGTGATCTGAAACGGTGGAAAACGACCTCTATTTATAGGAATCAGAAAAAAGAAAGTCAAAACGATTAGAAAATATCATAATTTGAAGAGGAACAAAACATCTCTCATGGCAGGTTATCGCGGCGCGACAGGGTCCATCGCGACGTGATGGAACTATCGTGGCGCGATGGTTCTGTCATTTTGCTTGGCTTCCTAAGATAAACAGTCGTACGGAGTTTGATTTCCAATAGAATTGGGTTAACGAACTATCCGTACCTCTTCTATTTTGAACGGGATTAGGATTATTAGAAAAAGAGAAGTTTTATTCGGCTTCGAACTCTTTGATCTTTATCTTTTTGGAAAGGATAAATTACAACCTTCTAGAGACTTCTAGAAGCTTGTAATGAATCCTAATTGGTTTAGGATTGAAAATAAGGTATTTGGACCCTAACAATGATCATTGGGTCGTAGGCGAGATGGACCAAGGTCTGATTTGGGCTCGGTTTAGTATTTTGGCCAATTGGTCTAAGCTGCACCCTTGTGCGGCTACAATAGATTAAACACTAGCCCATTTAAGAAGCTCAATTGCAAATGCGCCCAATTGCAAACTAACGCGACTCAAACAAAAACGCAGCCCACCCACACAAATTTTACAGAAAACCCATCACTTCCCAACCGCTATATTTTTTGTAAAATATAATTTTATAAAAAACCGTTTAATCATTTCAAAATTAAATTTCTAAATTCAATTTCTTCATTTCAAAATTAAGTTTTTGAATTCAATTTCTTCCCCATGATTTTCTCTCTCTAACAATCAAACAAAGTTCATTATCTCTCCTCTAAATAATTTGGATACTTGATGTTCATATAAATATTTGTTATTCATATGATAAACATTCTTAAGTATTAATGTTTATAAAATATGTTCATATTTTGAATGCTTATGTTCACTTTCCGAAATGCATATTTCACTTTCTAAAATGCATATGTGTACTTTCAAGGACCCAATGTATATGTTCATAATTTGAATGCTTATGTTCACTTTCTTAAATACATATGTTCATACATTTTTTATACATATGTTCACTTTCTGAAATGCATATATTTTTCAGGAGACTAATGCATATGTTCATATTTTGAATGCGTATGTTCATTTTCTAAAATAAATATATTCACATTTGCAATGCATATTGTTTAGGGAAAAAATACCCCCCAGGCCACGTGGCCCAATAAAATGGTGACACGTGTCACCTTAAGAGAGGTTCAAAATCATTCTCTTCTCTGCTGACACGTGGCACCCCCAATCATTGGGAAAAAGGCAGCCCTCAAGGCCCAATTCCCAGGATAGCCCACCATTCCTAAGTTTTCGTAACCTAGGATGGCGGCACGCATTCCAAGATCCTATAAACAGGGAGATATTCCCACCTAGAAAATCATTCAGAGAATATTTCCAAAAAAACAGAGCAATTATTAATTACAGATATAACTCCTGATCTCGGAATACGAGAAGATACTTTAGTTTCCGCACTTTTTACAGATTCCATACACGTTCTAACTTGATCGTCGGAGGCGGAACTCCAACCAACCGGAGTCTCCGTTGTTTTGCAGGTACAGGTGCCCGGAACCCTGTCTTAGAGTTGTAACTCTCCCGAAGGACACAGAAAACCTCGAAACACAGGTTCATTTTTTAATACTTATAATGCGTATGTTTCAATTTTTATGTACTAAATATTCATTTTTAGTGTACTAAATGTTCACTTTTAAAGTACATCGTGTTCATTTTTTTTTCCAAAAATTATACACAAATATTAGCAACTTAATTAAAAAAAATTCAAAAATTGTAATAACAAACAAATTTAAGATGCATCAATTTAATAATTCATCACAAATTCATCGATTATAGTTTCAGCAATATCGATTACAAATTAAACCTGACATTCACATAATCAAATGACATTCATCACATATCCAACAATTGAATTAATATTCAAATAATCAAATTCAACCCAAATTACTCCCACATTCATTATCTAATTGATATCCATCACAGCAAATTCATAGAAACTAACCTGCATTGATCTCTTCGAGAATAACAATCAAATTCATCATTTCAGTTTCATGAAATCAATGGAAGATGAAAGTAGAAAAAACAGAGGAGAGAGAAAGTCTTTAAGAAAGTGAAAGTATAGAAATCAGAGAAAATTTTAATGAAAATTTTGATCAAAATTATTATAGGAAAAAAAAAAAAGTGAAGAGAGAGAATTTAAAAGAAGGAAACAAAAAATTTTTAAAAAGGAAGAAGAATCACATGAAGAACGTTAACTAAAAAAGAAAGAAGAAAGAGGTGGACTGCGTTCATGCGCTAAAAGTTGTGTATAAGGGTGTTGCACCTATTCTAGCTGCACAAACATGCAGCCAAGAATATGTGATATTTTAGCCAAAACTTATTCATTTTACGTCGGATTTGGGCTTATAATATATCGTTGGAAAGCGTTTTTCAAGACCCATCCAACTAAACAATAATTGGATTGAGACTATGGACCAAAATAATATAGTTTGGACATTTTTATGGATTAGACACGAAATGAATGATTTTAGAGACATGAAATGAATTATTTTGGGTTAAAAGACGTTAAATAAATGATTTTGGTCTAATACATTTTGAGTAAGGTTAAGAATATGGTCAAGGCTTAAGGGAACTTCACAAGACTCTTCAACTCTTTACCAAAGTCGTTAATTAAAACGTGAAAGGTACTCATCACCGGGTTTGGTTTTTGTGTAGACACAATCAGGCGTCTACAAGTATAAATTGAGATGAATCTAACAAGATCCCATATGGCTATATTTTTCTTTAAGTATAAATCATCAAAGGTAGTCAAAGTGAAATACATGGATAGTGTAAAAGTCAAACTGTTGCAACTATAAAAAAAACAAAAAGGAGGAAGTAAGTGGGTATGGTTATAAATAAAAAATTTGGAAAAGTAAGAGAGAGAAATATGAATGGGGACCATTAGGAATAATGTGAAAGGGAGAAAATATTATAAAATGATAATGGGGTTAAAAGGAAAAGAGTGATATAATATATAATGTGAGTGGGGTTTTCACATTTGGTAATGGGGCACTTAAAAAAACAAAACCGGTCGTTTATGGAAAGTGGGTCACTTAAAATAACGGAGGGAGTATCACAAAGAGTTTTAGGCTATGTCCTGTTCACACGATTTGATTTGATTTGATCTCATCTGAACTAATTCTTTCGACGTTTTTTAAATATTGCAACATGGGGATGGTACACGAATTTTAAGAAGAGAAAAAAGATAGACCAAACAAATAAAAATTCTTATATGTGGCCATGGAGTTACTTCGTTAGTGTTATAAGGGGTCACTTTATTAGAGTGAACCCAGCCAATAACCTTTTGGGTTGGTTATTGGGAGAGAGAATGTGAAAAAATAATTAAAAAATGAAGCGAGAGAAATTTTGGGGAAAAAAAACAATAACCAGGTTAAGCAATTAAATAACCAGTTATCATGTTTGGTCTATTGAATAAAATATTGTAACAACTTGCTTTTGATGTCTTTCTTTGGTGATGTGGCAAAAGGATTTAAGAAAAGATTGTGTGGTAGGGTTAGGTAAAAGTAGGATAGAGAAAATGTATAACCATAAATTTGTGGTCAACCATTGGGACATATTGGTTATTAAATGGGTATAAAAGTGGTTATATATGAGGTGAAAGATAGAGAAAATAAAAAAATAAGTGATAACCACAATGGTTGTAGGCAACCATTGGGTTCACTCTTAGTGTTATAAGAGTTACTTCTTCGGTGTTATAGTGGTTACTCGGTTAGTGTTTTAGGAGTTAATTTGTTCTTTTACAAGCGGCCACACAGTGTGACCAGCTGCACATAAGACGTATTGTAGAAAGAAATAAAGATATTGACCCATGTGATGAGGAGAGAGAAAATATGTGCAAATATGGAATGTTGCAATATTTATAAAACTTCCTAAAATGGTAATTATTGCAATATATGTGAAACAGATAAAATATATACTAGTTTGTGCTTGGCAATCACTCGCGTTGTTCATAAAATTTTAGATAAACCTTTTGATTGAAATGTTCAGTGGCGGACTTGGGCTTAGACCTGGTGGGTCAAGTGACTCACCAGGCCCAAAAAAAAATTTTAAGTTAATTTTTAAAAAAAAAAAAAAAAAAAAAAAAAATCAGTTTTCCCAAATTCACGAATTCAGTATTTCAGTTCATGGCCTTCAATCCTTCATGCCCTAGCCAATTCGCCTCTTCCCTAATTCCCTTCAAGGCTTCAATCCTTCGCCATCATCAATCACCTATTCACCTCCATAATCGCCTCCTCCAGTCCTCCTCTTCGCAGTTCGCAACTCGCAACTTCGCAAGTAAGCATCTTCCTCACTCCTCAGTTAGTCAGTTCCTCTTCGCAGACTCGCAGTTCGTGCCTTCGACCCTTCGTCTTCCTCTTCGCATAAATTCAGGTGAGGTTAGTCTTCCTCTTCGTCTTCCTCAGTTAGTCTTCATCTAAATTTGTTTAATTGTTGATAACTTGATAACTTGATTGTCTTGATAATTGCTTGATTGCTTCGCTAATCGCTAGACGCCCAGTGGCCCTAGACGCTGCCTAGACGCCTACTGAGTACTGATTATTGTTAATTGTTAATTTTGTTATATATTGTTGTGATTTTGTGAATTGTTCAATGAAATTCTGAATGGTGAATTTGTGAAATGTTTGACACTTTAGTTCCTCTTCGTCTTCCTCAGTTCCTCTTCGCATAAATTAATTAATTAACTTAGTCTTCATCTAAATTTGTTTAATTGTTGATAATTGATATTACTTGTTAGTTATGAATTAGTAATACTAAATTTGATTCTTTGAACCCTAAATCCCTAATTGTTCAATAATCAACTCAATTGTTCAATAATCAACTCAATTTCAATAATCCCTAATTGTTGTGATTTTGTGAATTGTTCAATGAAATTCTGAATGGTGAATTTGTGAAATGTTTGACAATTGACACTTTACATACTTGTTCAAGCTGTGATGCTGTGATGCTGTGATGCTGGCCTGCTGCCCTGTGAGCTTGTGATTTCAAGCTGTGAAATGGTGAATTTGTTAATTGTTCAAGCTGTGATACTGCCTGCTGGCCTGCTGCTCGCCTAGTCGGCAGTCGCCTGCTGCCCTGCTCCACTGCTCGAGAGTCGAGAGCGTGCTCTGCGCTCACCGCTCTTCGCTTCGTCGCTTCTTCTAAAGTCTAATCTCCTATTCTCATTTTGCTAGTAAGTTGATTTCTAATTTTTAGTTTAAAATTCTAATCTTCAATTTAATCAAGTCTAATTAGTTAATTCTATTAAACTTTGGTTGATTTGTTAGTTGTTCACTTCAAGTCTTCAATCACTTGTTTGTTTGGTAAACTTTGAACCTTTTGTTAATGAGTAATGACCTTAATGTAATAATGTTGTTGGGTTTTAGATGAAATTTGAACCTTTTTGACCATGTGAATATGTGATTATGTGAATTGTGGTTTGTTTGGTAAAATGATCTTTGTAAATAATTTTTCTGGGGAATTTTGCTTGCTTTAGTTGATTATTTATTCAAATTTCAGAATGAAGAGAAAACGCACTCCAAATGAACTGCAAAACATTACTAGCTTCTTTGCTAAAAAGAATCCTACTTCAACTTCTCTTCCACATCCCACACAAAATGAACAAACTATATCTCCACCTCAACAGAGTGAACAAACTATATGTCCACCTCAAGAAAGTGAACAACATTCATCTCCATCTAATTATTCCACTCAAAATTCCCCTCAAAATGAACAAGGCCAATGTTCTCCTAATGCCCCAATCTTTGGTGAAAGATTAAGTGAACATGAATTTGCTAATCTTCCACAAGATCCAGGAAAGAGGAGAAAGATGAGTCAATTTCATAAAGATGATAGAGATTTAGTGAGAAGAATTTACATTCAAAGAAAGCCTTGTCAGCCCAAAGACTTTATATTTCCTCAAACTTCTATTTTTGGCAAAAACCGTCGCTTTTGTGCTAAGTGGTTTGATACTTGGACTTGGCTTGAGTATAGTGTGGAAAAGGATGCTGCCTATTGTTTCCCTTGTTATCTATTCAAGGATGAAAATGCATTTGGAGGTGATGCTTTTGTTAGTGATGGTTTCAAATCATGGAATCGATCGGATTTAATAAGAAAACATGTGGGTAAGCACACGAGTGCACATAATAATGCAGTGTTAGCTATGGATTTCGGTAAATTTTTTTTTTTTAGATACTTGATTATCGATTGTGACTCACCAGTCGGAAATTCCTGGGTCCGCCACTGGAAATGTTAAACCTTATTACACACAAAGTACTTTTTATAGGGCATATAATCCCATTTAATAATGTACTTATGATATTTAAAAAGACGGTATCATTGATATGTACAACTAATAATGTAGTTTTTATAATTTTATTAGTAAATAGATATATGTGTTATTTGACTTTGCTACTTAAGAAATCTGCTTCTCCAGAATTAATGATCACTTGATATTTTGTAAAAAATAAAAAAAAATAAAAAATTCATCACCAATTATTAGTAATTTTAAGATACAAAAGCTACGTAGTGTAATATAACAATCATATTAGTGTAATATAACAATCATATTAGTTTGTGATTTTTTATCAATTATAATATATACTTAAGGCCCTGTTCACCTTATTTTTGATGAATTGAAACACATTTTACTAAACTAAAAATATTTTATTAATTGAACAAAATTATTTGTACTATATAGAAATTATTTTTATTCTATATTATATTTGTTCTTTAAAGTTACTGATTATCTTTTATTTTTTCTATGGGTTTTACTTATTCTTTTTCTAAAATCAAATTATATACGAAGTATTAGTTTTTGGACTTGAGCAATGCCTGGGTGGTTGTATGAACTATACAACTTTATATCAATCCTAAATATGTACATAATTCCAATTCATTATTTAACAACACTAAATTTATAAAGAAATTTATTTAAATTGGGAGAGAACACTATTTGATTAGGAAGAAACTGTCATAGAGATCTTTTGCACTGAAAACAAAGTTAATGAAGAAAACCTAAAAACTAGCAATCTTAGCCGTTGAATGTTCATTAAATAACCTGATGATGTGGAACAACCCACAAAATAAGGTAATTATATAGGTTTTGATACCATTTACATAAAGGCATTATATATAACAATATGGTAATTATATCAATTTGACAACATTTACAAAGAGGCTGCTATATTTAAATTTAAGCTAAGGTAATTGTATCAATTTGACAACGTTTGCATAGAGGTCATTACATATAAAAATAAGGTAATTACAAAGAGTTTGTTATATTTAAATTTAAGCTAAGGTAATTGTATCAATTTGACAATATATAATTAGAGGTCATTATTTATAAAAGTAAGGTAATTACATCGATTTGACAATATCTACACAGAGGTCACTAAATATAAAAATAAGGTAATTATATCAATTTTGACAACAATTACATAAATATCACTATATATAAAAATAAGGTTACCATACGAATTTTGATAATGTTTAATACACATCGATTTTGAAAACATTTACATAAAGGTCCCTTTGTATAAAGATAAAGTAACTTTATTAGGTCCCTATGTATAAAATTAAGGTGACTATATTAGCATTGGCTATATTTATACAAATAAAGCTCCATGTATATCTCTATTACATAAGTGTAGGTTGGGAGGGGAGAAAAAGTTGGCATCCAACATTTTAACTCCCCTAAATACCCCTCCGCTTACATAATAAAGATTAATTTATTTGAAATAATTTAGGCAATTTAAAAAATCATTAATAAGTAATCACTAAGGTTATGTATAATTCACCTTATTATTACTTATTTCAAAAAAACTAAGTTCGGATCATATCAGATAAAAAAAAAAAAGTTTTAATACACTTTGATGTTTTCTGTGCGATTTTTATGTGCGGATCGGAATTGAAGATTACTAGGACTGACAAAAGTATAAAAAAAAAAAACTCATTATCAAGTGAATTAGGCTATTTCGGAGTCGCAAACCAACAAACGCGAGATCAATTACAACAATTTGCAACCAAAATTTAACAACACGCAACAACCTTAATGAGAGAGAATTCCCTATTTTTTTTTTTAAGAGAAATAAACGATAAACTTCAATTTAGAGGAGGAAGAATTATGAATATTTTGAAGAAGATAGCTGACACAATTTCAGAAAAAAGGGCAAATATCGAATCTGATTAAATGGGTTAATTGAATACTTAATGTCTGGCTTGTGATATCAACCGCTACATTCTAATCTACAGTCAAGATCTCACGTTTTTAGTTTCATCTAATTAATTGGGTTAAACGAATACTTAATGACTTTATTGAAGAGTCACCGGCGCCGAGGAAGGAGATGGTCGTCGGCGGTAAGAGTGTTCAGATCCGGGTACCCGGTTTTTCGGGACTCTAAAATACGGGTACCCGCATTACCAGGTAGTTAGAAAGCCGGCCCATGACCCACCCAACCCAAGAAACTCAGGTACCTGGGTTTCGGGTACCCGAATTTCTCAGGTCGGGTCAAAGGTACCCGATTTCTTATATATATATATATATATATATATATATATATATATATATATATATATATATATATATATATATATATATATATATATATATATATATATATATATATATATATATTTTTTTTTTTTCTCTAAATTAGATTTCAAAATTAACATCCAATTGCTAGCTACAACTGCGAAATTAATAAACAAGCTCAAAATCACCTCAAGTACAAAAGAAACGATGAATATGTGATATAGCAGGTTGGCTTTGATAATCAAGACAAGTAGCCTGGACTATGAAAAAGAAGAGCATGGGTTAGAGAAGATGCAACCTCAGCTTAAAGAGGATAAAAAAGAATGAAGATGAAAATAGAGAATAGATGGAGAAACATATGTCACCTCAATAAAGTCGCCAAAAATCATTGTGATTGTGGCTGAATCGGTGAAGAAACCATAAATTAAATGGAGATTTTGTGGTGTCTTGGTGTGGTGGTGAGTTATGCTGAAGTATTTACACGAGAGAGAGAGAGAGTAGACTCCATAAGAGAGTGGAATGTAGAGAGAACAAACTAGAGAAAAAAAGGGGTATTGCGGCTAGGGAGTTTGTGAGTCAAATATTAAATCCCTAATTAGATGTTCCAGACTTTAAATGTACATTTAATAAAAAAAAAAAAACTTCCAGGTTTTCGAGTACCTGCGAATCACGCAAGCTGGTCCATGACCCGACCCGGATTGTGGTACCTTTCCCGGGTCGGGTACCCGACCCGTGAATTCAAGAAAAAATAGAAAATTACCTGACTAAAATGAGTCTGGACAGGGAGTCGACGGGTCGGATAGTTTTGAACACCCCTAGCCAGCGGTGGCAAGGGGAGTTGGTGGGGAGGGGGTGGTTGGGATTTTTTATTTTTTTTTATATTTTTATAAATTAGTGTATCTAATATAATTATACTTAACATTTAATGCAAAATAATTTAGTTTTAATTAAAAAAATGACTTGTTTAGTAGGTTGTAAGTTACTAGACCTATTAAAAGAAAATACCATTCAAAAGTCGACTTATTTTGAGTTAATAAAAAAGTTGGCTTATTTTGAGCAAACCACACAAACGTTGGCTTATTCTTGACAAATTTTCCATCAATTATTCATACTTTCACTTCATTTATCTTAAATTGAGGTGACAAATTACCTACAAATTGGAAATTTATTGTTCAAATATTAATTTTATGTCCTTTCTTCACAATTTGAATAAAAAATGACTACTTATTCAAAATTTTCAAGGAAAAATTGAAAACAATAATCCCACCTTTGCTCAACCTGCTCAAAATGTCCTTACCTTTGCATATTCTGGGAACGAGCCCTCCTTTCACTCCTATTTTCTCAAAACAAGCTTTTTACCTATAACCTGTTTAGCAGGTTAATTTTTTTATTATTTTTTTTAATCTTTTTCCTCCCACCCAAACCACCACCACCACAACCACATGTAATACCAGCCCCTCCCAGCCACCCTAAACACACCGGAAACCCACCCCTGCAATGCCAGAAACTCCACGCCCACGCTGAAACTCCACCCCTGGGATCAATAATCATGAGCATCATCACCGAAAAAGATGTCTTTGTCTAGGTTTCCGATGTCAGGAAAGTGTTAAAAAGGGCGATGACGACAGTGGCGCAGAGGGGAAGAGAGAGAATCAAAATGTTGTTGCCGTCGAGGCCGATGCGAGAGAGAAGGGCTTTGATTGAAGGGTCACGGCTAAGGATGACAATATTAAGTGGATATCCGCTAACCCGCTCCACCCGCTTTAAATAAATGAACGAAAATCCGAATTAAATGGATAAGAAGCGGGTGACGGATGAAGCGGGTGATGGATCAGAGCGGATGTGGATGATACTTTTCTTCACTCGCTAACCATCCACCCACCCGTTTAACATATATTAAATTTTTTATCTAAGAATTTTAATATTAAAATATGAAATGTGCAAGAAAACTAATTGTTTTTTTTGTTGCAAATTAATTTTTCAAAAAACATGTTGTTATTGTTTCCTTTTTTATTATAAAATAAAAAATTTATTGTATAAATGACCGAGAATTAGAGTTTATGTTAGTTTTTTTTTCACTTTAATACTTTAATACTCATCCATTAGTCATCCGCTTCACCCGTTTCATCGGCGGATGATGGACGGACGGATATGGATGATGGGTGAAGCGGGTGACAGATGGATGTGGATGGAGCAATTAAATAATGGATGGATGCGGGTAAAGCTCCACCTGATCCAAATCCGATCCATTGCCATCCCTAGTCACGGCTGGTGGTTTCCCGGTGATCTATCCGCTGGAAAATCATCATTGGTGTTGCTGGTCGGCGGGGGCGGCGTTGGGGTGGGGGGTGGTTGTTCATGCGGGAAGGGGGCTGTTGCATTTTATAAAATACTTTTTATTTTTTTAATTATTAAAAAAAATAAGGCCAATTAGAAGGCAACACATGGCTATTACCTTCTAAAACCAGTTACCAAATTAAAAAAACTGGTCAAATACTTGTTTTGAGAAAATAGGGGTGAAAGGTGGGCTTGTTCCTAGAATATGCAAAGGTGGGCTCGTTTTGAGCAATTAGAGCAAATGTGGGATTATTGTTTTCAATTTTTCCAATTTTCAATTAGAATTTTATTATATTTTTGAGGAAAAAATAATTAATGCGCTTGATCCTTTAAATAAAATGGAAAACAAAAACTTCAATCAACTAAATTAAAATACTTAATTCAATCAATTCACATTTAATCAACTAAAATAGAAAAAATAAAAG